TCTCCAGATTTAGTCCCCTGCGACTATTTTCTGTTTCCAATCCTAAATAAATGGCTGGGCGGTAAGAGATTTGAGTCGAATTAAGAAGTCAAATGCGTTTTTTGAAAACTTTGTGAAAACCTATTATTTCGAGGGAATAAGAAAATTAGAAAAACACTGGACTAAATGTATCGAGCTAAAAGGTGATTATGTAGGAAAATGAAATGTTTATTTGCCGAAAAAAATTTGTTTTATTCAAAAAGTCACTGACTTATCAAACCGTCCTCGTATATATGTGCTAGCCATATTTACTTCGTCATTCGGAGTTATAAGAGATTAAGAGCGTTTATAGTTATACCGTAATTATTTATTTAACAAATGGAAATGTACATAGAAGAATTAAAAACTTGGGTAAATAGTTACCATACATGAATACAAAATGTGTAAATATTTAAAGAACTGATGTATTAAAGTAGGAAAACATAGTAGAAGTTACAGCATTTTATATGTGAATAAAGTAATTTATTTTTCTATCCTCTTATCCTTCTCCGTTTTCGAAAGTGAAAACATATTAAATGTTTTTATGCGAATTTATAAATATTTGAATTTATGATACATAATTCATTTTATTAAATATATTTACAACATTAAGTAAATAAATGTGTTGTTCATTTAACGGCTGGTTCTAATAATTCTCAGTAGATTTCAGTAAATATTTAAAATATATTGCAAAAAAGGAGCAGAAATACTTTTAAAATTTATTGCTTTTGTTAAATATTTGAACTGAATTTTTATAGATTTAAATACAATGCATGAAATCACTTTCGCATACATACATACATAGCTACACATAGATACAAAAACAAAAACAAAGAAGTCCTTAGCGTTGTAAAGAGGAGCGGAACAAGCAATTGAAACGCCTCCACCATCGCGTCTGCAATCAGCTTTTGTGCCGCAACCCAAATGCAATAACGCGTCGCTTACACAGTTCCACGTCACGCCCAGCACTTATGTTGCAATTTTACAGGAAGGACGAACAGAAAAAGCATAAAAAATATGGTTTTGCATGTCCTTTCGGTTTGTTTTATATTTTCCGAGTTGAACTGAAATTGCGATAAAAGCAAATGCCACAATACTGAAAAAAAATATCGATAAAATCGGCAAAAATCGAAAAAAAATCGAAAAAAAATCGAAAAAAATCGAAAAATATATATTCGTTTCGATAATTTTTCGAGAGCTATCAAAAGACTGGTGGAGAATGGTGTAGAAATTATATAGAAAAAATTGTTAGTAATAAATGCACAAACGAGCGCTACTACACATATAAATGGAGTGGTGCGGTACAAGGTGACTTGGTAATGTGAGGGGCGTATTAAGCATAAAAATGATACGTATACGTCATGTTAATGGCTTATATAAAAAAATTATTTTATTGGTATTATTGACACGACTGGCACACGTTACACGACACACAACACTCTGTTTGCCTTCATGGATGCAGTAAATTAAAGTCTCGAACGTGCACTCATGCGGCACAGATGCCAATAATTTATGACTCCAATTCCAAAAACTCTGCATATACTCTGTATGGTATATCTGAAGTACTCGTAATATAGAAAATAATTTATTTTTTAGTGTTAGTAATTTTATGTTTATGCATAAATTCGCGTTGTGTTTCCGTTCAAGCTCTTCAAATATTGACATTTACATAATGCATTTCATATTAAAATTCATTTCCTTTTGTAGCTTTCCGAGCTGAAAGCGACCGGAGGGAGCATTGAACTTACATTGCTCCTTACATATCCTGAAATGAAAGGACCAGAAGTTATTTATTCCTTAACATTTACATATCGCTCAATTGCTGATTTATTGGATTTCATTGCACATCAATGTAATTGAAGAATGGAGTCGTACTTTGTATTTATTGTGAGCAATCAATACAATTTTTTCATTTATTCAACAGTTTTTCACTCATTTTCCTCTTTACGTAAATATATATACTCATATTGTACATAACCCTTAGGACATGACATATTGACTTTTAGTGAATGTACAAAAATATTCCCCATACATGAATGCCAAGAAAAATCTTAATTTTGATACTCTAATTTAATTTTTATTACATTTAACATACTTAAACGGTGGCTTTCTAACGACTTGTTCCCTAAATTTTATTTCATTATTTAGTGAAGTTAACAAGCACTTATCGGGTGTTTTCTTAGCTGCATGAGAACTATCGATATCGATAACTGTTACAAATCATACTTACTTACCTACTTATTTATTTGGCCATAACAATCCGTTATCGAGTTTCGGCCTGACGCAGCATATATCCGCAGATGCCTCTTCTGCGTACATGCCTTGTCCAGTATCGTACATCAAGTCTAGTTAGTGCTCCCTATGTCTATAAGTGGATAATCTCACTTCATCTTAATAGATGGAGAGAGTTGAGCACTTGTAGACAGACCAAACTCATGTTACCTAAACCGTGGGCCAGAGAAGCGATAAAGGTATTTAGCTATTCGCGGAGCACCCTAAGCTGGCTGACCTCACTAATTACTGGACATGGCAACTTTAAGTATCACCTCAAAAAGATAACTCTTGCTGAGGAAGACACTTGCAGACTATGTCTAAAAGAAAAGGAGAGAGCGGTGCATATATTGTGCCAATGTCCAGCACTGGCAAGTAGGAGGAAGACTGTCTTGGGACACCATTGGGTTGGTGACGACTTAACAGGAAACCTCAAGCTAAATGAGCTGCTTGCATTAACAAAAGATGTAGTTATGCGAACGGAAGCCAATCCAGCTTTAACTCAATAACAACATCCGAGAATCGAAGGACGAAAAAGGACCTAAGTCGTTTCGTGGTCTACTTCGACTAATCCTTCACTTCAGTGGGGCCACTTGTTGAACAGTGCGCTGTCCCAACGTCCCACCATATATATATATATATATATAGTGCTCCCTTAACTTGATCACTCCACCGGAGATACGATTTACCTCTACGTCATCTACCGCCAACTACTGCTTCTAACAACTTTTTAGTTGGAGCATCTTCATCCATTCTCACGACATGAGCAAGCCAGCGAAGCCGCTGGATGTTAATTCGCTGAATTATATCAGTGTCATGATAAGGGTCGTACAGCTTGTGGTTCATTCGGTAGTCGTCGACAACTCGTAGAGGACCAAAGATCTTACGAAGAACTTTTCTTCCATGTGTTACACATTCGGTAGTAAAGACAAAAGAAAAAATAAACTTTATTTCTGTAAATAATATTCCTTTAACAATAACTATAGATTGAAAGCAGAGAATTTCTAACTGTGTTGACATTTGTGTTCAGTTGCAATTCCTTATAGATCGTTTAACGCGAGAACAACGCTTCCAAAATGTGGAAATTCACTATGAAAAATATATAAAAAATCTGTTTGGGAATTTCTTAGAGCACTTCTTCAAAGAATTGTGTTAAATGAAGAAGTTCTTTGGGTACATCAATAAGCAAAGTTGTCATATATGGAGCGAAGATGATCTTAAAGACGGTAAAGAATTACCATTACATCCATTCAAATGAACTGTTTGGTAATGTTTGCACGGTGGCGGCATCATCGATTCCTATTTATTTCGCAATGAAAATGGAGCTATCATTACAGTGAATGGCGATTTCTATCACGCTATACTGACTAAATGTTTATCGACGATATTTGGTTCCAACAAATTTCGATATTTGGTTCTATACAGCACACTTAACAATCGATTTATGGCGAAATCAATTTGGTAGCAACTTTATTTCCAGAAGTGGTCCTGTTAGCTGGCCCCCTGGTTCGTATGACTAACCGTCACACAATCACTTTGTATGGGATTATGTTGTCATTGATTTATGCTGATTCACCCCTATAGTTATAATAAGGTATCCTTCTTTAGCAGAACAGAGTTGAGATTGCTGGTGAGATACCTAACGGGTCACCACGGACTACGTTACCACCTCAACAAAATGGGTCGGTTCGAAGAGATAGAGTGTAGACTCTGTTTAGAAGCGGAGAAGACATCCAGCCACAGCCTTGATCTGTGCCAGGGGGAGGTCACTGGGTCTCATCTTCCGACATTAGGAAGTCCTCAACGGCAGACATTTCAGCCTTCATTCGGAAGGCAGAATGTCTTCTGTTCAGTTAGGGTCTGTTGTAGTACAAAAGATAAGTCATGGTTGTAGTGCTCTACTCAAGTGGGAGCTAGTACTCCGTTGATTCTTATCTTCTTATCTTACATATGTATATTCTGACATTGAGAGTCCATAATTATAACCTCTTCATTGTTTCTGCCTGCCACAAAATGTTTTTTAACTTTACATAACAAATGACACTATTATTAATTATTTTAAAATTGATGAAATCAAAGGGCTGTTAAAAGTCTAAACCTATAAGAAGTTGATTTGACGATTTTAAAATTATATTATGAAATTGAAAGTAGGTTTCACAAATCTTTTATTTTTCGTAATATTTTCATATTAGAGTATCTTCTCTAAATACATTAAAACTGTTTCAAAATGATCAAATAATTTCTTCAAATATAACCGTAGTAAAATAAAATTCACATATTGTTGTAGTAATAATAATATAGTTGCAATAAGACTAATGTAATCATAAATAATATTGTTCTAATAATATTAAAATTATTGGTCCGCATTGTGTTTTTAATCAACACTTATTTGTTAGTACATTTAAATAAGATGAGAATTATATACTTCATTTTAGAGTAAGTCAAAAACATTTTTTAAATTTTATCTCTCACTAGTATATAATTCTCATATAGTTTAAAGTTTACAACCAATAAGAGTATAATACGAAGTATCAAATGACATTCTATTTTAATAAATTAATTATTGCACATTCTTTCCTTAATAAATAAATAAACCATATTTTTTTTATACTTAATAATGAAGTAATTGTTACTGACTAGTGTAATATAATTATATCTTATTTTAAAAAAAGAAATTATTTAGTTTAGTAGTTAATTTATAGATGTATTTTTAGCAATACCAGAAAATATATTTTTTAATATCGAAATAACTGCTTAAGATTTTCTTAAACATTTTGCTTAATTATTTATAAATTTATATTCAACTTTAATTTTCGTAAAAGAAATAAAGCAATAATGTCGTATTATCCTTGTAATTTTTCTTGTTTTTGTGGATCAAACGAAAATTTTTACATTGCAATAAAAATTTCGTGATGACATCTATTTAAATAATTTTTCAACACTGTCCACTCTTGATGGCTGATAGCACATATTTTGATTAGATGAAGAATTACGTAAATCATGATCACTGGCTATATTACAAATACTTGTACTACTTCCACATTGCTTATAGGTTCTAATACGCTTCTTTAGTTTGAAATTTTCGTATTCATCAATTTTTTCTGGTAATTCGAAGGGGCGGAAGTGTTCTCGATGTGTTGTTTTAAAATCATTTATATACGAATTTTCTTCTGTAATTCCAGGAACTATACCTTTTGGGTTTGGTTTATCAGCATATCTCTGTTCAAACCAATTCTTATCTAGGACATTTTGGTTATAAGCTCTGGTAACTGACTCATTCTGAAAGCGACGCAGTTTGCTGTTCATTTTCTTACTCAAAAGACCTAAAACTGAAAATAAATATTTATTATATATAAATATAAATATATATATATTCATTCATTGAAATTATTTATAAAAACCTTGCACAAATATTTTTGAAATTGACTGATCTGGAAAATTCCCTCAGTTATTTATCGGGTTACCTCTTCTTTAACAGTAGTTAGTAGTAGTTACTACTTCTTTAGCTCTGAGACTATTGAAGTAATTGGAGAAATCTTAATAAATGCATTATTTTTATTCAAAGAGCCAGCTTCAAATTTAATAGTCAGAAAAGAAATATATAAAAAAAATGTTTCCTGTAAAAAAAAATTAATTTTATTTAAAATGAATTATTATTTATAGTTTGGAGAGAAAGCTTACTTTGTTAAACTATTTTTCAGTTTAAAGAAGAAAGTTACATATTGTAATAATACTCGATAGATTCAAATTATATTATTTTTTTAATACTCGTACATATTTACTTTCTTATGTAGCACATATTGTTTATTATTGCAATCCATTAACAATCTATTAAATACTATATTTAGAAACCCATCAAACGTTGTCTCAAAAAACCTCTAAATGATAGGGTTTCAGTTCGCAGATTAATCTCTAGATTAGGTTAGGTTCAGAAGCATATATTGTCCATTGTGATGCCATCAAAAATTATGCCGGGAGAGGCGAGTTGCTAATCCTTGTTAGTCTTGTTAAACCATTTGGTTTTCCAGATGACGTTGAGGAGATCCGATAAGTTTGATTTCATTATCTCTTGCAAGCCAGTGAAAAAGCGATCCCGAAGATATTGAAGTCGCCTTGTCTTTAGTCCTGGACAGAGACACAGAAAGTGGTTGATAGATTCCACCTCATCTTCAACTTGGCAACTTCTGCATTATCCACTTGTTGAAGCATCGTTGAAGCACTATGCGATGGCACAGTGGTTCGTTAGTACTTCAGTAAATACACGAACTGCAGGTTAATCTCTAAAAGATCAATTTTTTTCTTCTATTAAATGGCCCTTGAAACGTTTGGATATATTTTAAGTGGACTCACGAAGCATATGGAGTAAGACAAAATGATCACGTTGTTTAAAAGCCAAGAGATCAGTTAAGACAACTACGATAAGTGTAATGCACAGTATTCCCTACTTAATACTACTTAGTACTAATATTTTTATTCTTAACTACCAAGATATTACTTTTGTAGTAGAAAATGTGTATTATTGCTAACAGAAGAACCCTACAACACTAGTACTTTTAAGAACGAAATACCCCATACGACAATATACCCCATACGATATGATGAGATTAATGATATGCAAAATAATCATAATTACTCTAATAAAGTATATGTGGACTGTTTTTCAGAACATATATACAAATAACAGATTTGTTATTTACCACGACAAAATAAATCATCCGAAATAAAATTTTTTTAAAATATTTATCTTCATTTGTTATTTGAATATTTATCTTTGCCTATAACTAGATAAATTGTAACTGTTAAAATATCTTTGACGCTAATATGAAATTTTTTTGAATAAAAAACAAAAAATTCCACTAGTAACCAAGCCCATTTGATACTACGATTCATTTTTGAATTTGTGTGGATTTTTTCCGCTAAATGAAACTCGACTCACAAACCGAAATAAAACCACTGAGGACATTTAACCCGGCGGTACCCGTCAAATACGCCTTTTCACAAACGCAATTGAAATATTTCATTCATTCGAATTTCGTGCAATTTGCAAGGATTTTGTTAATTTGTGTTCGTTTCCAAGTCTGAAGTCAACAACACCACCACTTGACGTACACATATCTCCAGTGAAGAATCTTCGTTTGAAGAGATTTGGCAACTGAACCTTTGTAAAGGGAAAAAATACGTTTTTTTTTAGAAACTCAAATTGAAAAATGCTATGTCAAGGATTATGTAGAGAAGAATTTTAGTAAAAAATCTTTACAGTTGAAGCAATTATTTTTCAATTTCGTTCATAAATGGTATTTGCTCTAAAAACAACGATTAAAAAATTATTACAGTTTTAGTGATTCCAACAAAATCTTCTTTAAAATTGCCACTGTAATGAATGTAGTTTCCAAAAGAAAAAAAATTTGGAAAAAACACGTTTTCCAAAATGGATTAATTAAATTAAATTAATTTGATAAGTTTATTTAATTAATTAAATTAATGAAATTTTTGAAATTGATAAGATAAGATTACTTTTAAGATAAAAAGACATTCTTAAATTTTCAAAATGTAATTTAAGTTTGCTAACGGGTTTCTTTACATCTATCTACAACTACAACTACTACAACTATCTGCTATTTCGGAATGCAGATTATGCCTCGAAGATGAGGAAACCACCATGCATATTCTTTGTGAATGCCCGGCTTTAATAACGCTCAGAAGAAATTTGTTTCATTTGGAACTTCTGTCATCAAAACAGATTAAGAACTCTTCTCTAGATTTAAGTGGCTTTGTATAATTAATAATGAAACTGGTACAATAGGACTCTTCTGGCGCCCTCAACTAGATCAGTCCACCAGAGACATGGTTTACTTCTACACTTTTTCTTCAATTACGGCTTCAAATATCTTTTATGCTAGATCATCCTTATTCATTCTCATCAGATGACAAAGCTATTAAAGTCGCTGAATGTTAATTCGCTGAATTATATAAATATCGTGATAAAACTCTTACAGCTAGTGGTTCATTCAAATACGGATACGTCGTCAACTCATAGGTTACCAAAGATCTTACAAAGAACTCCCGAAAGCTGCCAGTGCTACTTTTCATCCTATAATAACGTTCCTGCTTTTGCCACATACAGAAGCATAGGTAGTATGAGTGACCTAAACAGTATAAATTTTGTTTATCGAGAGGGAAGAACTGTACATCCCAATTGCTTACTGAGCCCACAGTAGCACTATTGGCAATGGTGATTTTTCATCTGATCTCCAGGCTGACACCATTATTGTTTTTAATGGCGGCGAAATGAAATTCTTGATAGATTCGAAAGCATAGTAGTTAGCCACTAGCCTGGGGTTCGCATATTTCTACCAGTAGCCGACATAGTAGCCGACCACAATTTGCTCACATTCACCGCTAAGCTCATTTTTGCAGATTACATTTCAATAGCAGCAAAGACATTCAAAGTTGTCGGCACCGATATCATCTGCCATGGAGTTAGCTTTAACTAAGGAAAATGTATAAATTCACTTATCATTTCGTATATATATTTTACCGACCATTTATTTTCTCTGACTGCTGTCCTTAGTATTTCTTATAGAAGATCAATCACATACCCAACTAGTGTAAAACCTTCTTATATTTTATTGTTTATTTAAGAGTACTTATGTATTATCCAAATCGGTTTACATTATTCTTAACAGTCCTAAATATTGGCATAAACTGCTAATAATCCCGTTAAATTCATTAAGAAAATTCGGAATTCCAGAATTAAAATCAAGTTACTGTGTTTTATTCGAGTATATTAGCTTATTTATTTATTTCTATATGAGCCAGTGCACTTTTGCTCTTTCTTAACTGGAGGTATTTTCAAAACCTCTCAATCAAATCGCATTGATTGGATTATTGTTTATCACTTTATCAAACTAAGCAATAATTGAACTCAGATCGGTATACCTCCCCGAGGAGCCTGTAACGATTCTGAGACTTGATAACGAGGTGCTGGTAAGTTTGTCAGTTTTCGCAAATAATTTCAGTGCTCTATCCTTTATGTATTTTTGTCATTCGTCCTAATGTACTATGGTAGCTTGAAAAGTCTTCTCAGAGTCTGGTTTTGTCAAATTCTAGCTGATGAATAGTAATATTTGAGGCTTTGTTAAACGCGGTGTTGGTAAGTCTGTCAGTTTTCATAAATAATTTCAAGGCTCTATTCTTTATGTATTTTTTGATGGGATCAATTTTGAGGTTCCTGAAGATGTCATTCGTCCTTTGGTACGAATGACATCTTTGAAAAGTACTTTGAAAAGTCTTCTCAGAGCCTGGATTTGTGCAATTTCTAGCTGGCGAATAGTAGTGTTTGAAGCTTTGCTAAACGCTACATAACCATTTAGAAGTGACGGACGAATTATTAGGTTATATATCAGTTTCCTGTTCTTAGCTTATAATACACTAGGAGCTTTTAAATTAAATAATAAAATATTCGTAGTTATATTTTGCATATTTGTATTAGTAAATTTTGACAATAGTTATTAGTCACTACACACAATTAAAATAAATTCAATTAAGTTGAGCTTTACTGATAAACACTTCTTTCAATTCAATGGGATATGTTTTTGATTGAATTAGTCGTGCCATAAACATAAGAATATGTCAAAGGATGTCTCTAAACCACTGCTGGCAACTTACTCCACGAAATGATGATTCAGTGCATGTTGCATATTAATATGAATGCCGCAAAAATTTGAAACATTTTTAATGCCCGGATTGTCTGCCTGTCTGCTCACTGCATTTCTTCTAAGCCACAGAATGGCAGACAGAAGTTGGCTTAAAATCGTTTGCACACGTAAAAGTTAAAATATCCTTTTGCCATTTATTTTGTTTTTGCTTTGTTTTTGCTTATGTTGCTGCTCATCTTTTCACTTCCTCGGAAGTGAAGTGTGCGCAGAAAACTGTTGGTTGATGTTTGTCTACGGCGGTTTGGCTTAGCTGAATAGGCTGCAACCGGAGCACGAGTTACTTACCACGTTTCTAGACAGGATAGTTGTGGCATAGCGAAATGTTAGATTTACTCTATTTCAACAATTCAGCTGCATCCTTGTATTGTAGCTGCCATTACAATTTTTGCCGCCGACATTGTTGCACCTAAACAACGATTTTCTTCTCGTCTCCGTTATTTCGTATTCTGTTAGTGCCAAAACAGTTGCATTGGCTTTGCAGTTCCTGGCTTGGCAGCTGTTGGTCCTGTTATTCCTGTTATTCCTGGTGTTGATGCTGCTGTTGGCAGCTGCTGGTGCAATTGTGAGTTTTGCTACTTTGCGGTTCGCAATCAAGTCAGCAACGGTAACAAAACACTTCTGCGCGGGTGTGTGACTATGAAATTCTTGAAATCCCTTTCATTTCATGCTCCTTTGGTTTTCTAGACTTTTGTGCAGTTTTTGATGCGTGCCACTATTTTGCAGTGCGAATTTTTTAGTGAAAATAACGTTCGTTTTTGAGTTTTGTTGACGTAAGTGAAATGTTTTTCCCCTGTCAGAAATACTTGAAAGCAATTGTGTAGGAAAATGTGTTGAGGTTTTGTACGCATCCTTGTTGTGCTGGTTCTTCCTTGTTCCTGGTTGTGTTTGTCGTTTTATTGGAAGCAGCAGCTTTGTTGTTTCACTTCACTTCTCCATGTGGTGCTTTTGTTTATATTTTAGCACTTCACACTTCAGACTTGCAGCTATGGTTGCAGCTGCAGCTGCGGCTGCAGCTACTATTGCAGTCGTTGTCGCCTGAGGACGGAAGTAGCAAGTCTATTGCATGTCTTGGTTGGTTTGTGGTGATGTCGAGACATGAAGCAAATTTTTCCATTTAAATACTTCCGGTAGTAATGTTTTGGTTTTGTCTTGTTGGCAGTAATCGTTGTTTTTATTGTGGTTAGGTAAGTTTCAGTACATTCACAAACAAGCAACTGACAAAATTTCATTCTTAAAGTGAATTTTAGAAAATGTTGCCATGTATTTCGAATTTTTGGTTTTTCCTTTTCTGGTTTGAAATTTGTTTAAAAATGTTTTTAAAATAATTATATTTGCTTGAATGTCGCATTTGTGGTGTAACATTTTAAATTAATTTATGTTTAAAAAATAGAGTCTTATGAAAAAGCATAAATGCAATAAATGCCATAAATGTAAGCAACACTTTACAGGGAAATACAGACCTTATAGTGGAATACTTTCAAAAAATGGAAGATTAAAATTAATAATGACAAAACCAAGGCTATATTAACAACTCGATAAAGAAGACAGCATCCTCCAAGAATGAGCGTTTGTGACACGGAGATACGGTGGGAGGATAACATAAAATTTTTGGGGGTCACTTTTGACAAACGGTTCAATTGGCTTAAACATTTGAAATACAAACGGAATAGCTGCTCTAATATTCTACATTTATTAAAGCCGTTATTTAATAATTATCACTTCAACTTTAAAAACAGAAAGTTACTTTATACGCAAGTAATTAGACCAGCACTACTATACGGATGTGTTACATACAGCAAAGCCTCAAATACTACCATAAAGCAATTACAGATAGCACAAAACCTGGCTTTAAGAAGACTGTTTAAGATTCCATGGTATATTAGATCAACAGACATACATAGAGATCTTAGGATTCACTCAGTGACAAAATATATCAGAAACAGAGCTCTAAAATTATTCACTAAAGTTGATACGCTACTTAACCCCACCCTAACAATCCTCAAGTCCACTTCTGGACTTTCAGGAAGATATGCTGATTTAAGGTCCGTCATCAACTAAAAGACAAATAAATGATATGATTTCTTAGCTTAGTTAAAGCCTAGTGTGGGGTAGAGATAAGCCCCCAGCTATTATAGAGTAAAAGTGCGTAATAGCACTAACTCAAGAAGAAGAATCAAGAATCAAGAAAAAGTATAATGATTATGGGATTTTTAAAAAATTTTTATAAATAAATTATTATATTATTACCTTGATTTATTAAAAGGGCTTAGAGTTCACTTATTTAATTATCATTTAAAATGTTGAAGGCACATTTGATTCCAAAGACCCTACAAGTATATAATTAACTTATTGTTAAGGCACTAATCGGTTAACAAATTGTTACTAATTGTAATTAGGTTGATCATATCGCTCGTATAAATAAAAAGGAGCTCACTCGAAAGCACTTTTGTTAGAGATATTATCATGAGCAGCTGTAGAGCAGACCATATTTACGCTGGAAGAATGGCATAAATCGGTGCGCTTGAAGCTTAGATAATGACAACGGCTCTAACTCGGCATCGTTTTATAAACTAATTGAAGGCAGCTAAGATCGGACATGGATTGTAATCGAAATATAATGATGATAACGATAACTTTGGAACGAAATGAAAAACGATTGGTTGGATTTTTACTTTCAAATTATTATGTTGTATATATTTATAATTAATACAAATATTGTCAATATTTCAAAGTCAAGCAGACTTCTCTGAATATGAAGATTATTGTTTTATTTTATACATACATTTCAATAAAGACAGAATTAAACCTCAACTCTGAATAAAAAAAATAACAATATAAAAATTTTTGGCTTAGCATTTAATTTAAAAGATTATGAAATATAAATATAGTGTTTATGTCTTAATTTAGATATGTCAGATAACGATAACCAACAATTTTTTATTGTAACCACAGTAATAAAAATGCCTATGCTCGTATCAGTTAATTATCCTCTTATAAGTGCACTTAGCATCCATTTTTCATCAAGGCAATCTGCTCATTATACCAGAGCTTCAAGTTTTCATTTAAATACCGAAAAAACTCAGCACTCTGTTGATCCAATTGGGGATCCATGTTGGCATCGCTTGCATAGGCCTCCTCAATTGCACGCTGAGCTAAACATATGGCAGTCTCGTACTCATTGAGTTCCTGATACAGAAAAATGCACAAACTTAGGTGAATTGATAAACTTAAAGGATGACGTTTTAAATAAGCGCCATTTGCCAATTCCAATGCCATACGATATGATTTTAAGACCTCATCCACTGATTCCTCTCTCAAATCTTCAAATTTGAACTCGCAGAAGACTTTATAAAAGTCAGCCTTAAGCTTATAGTACATGATCTTTTTATGAACTGTATCAGTTGAAAAGTACAACTTCTCATACATCTCAGTCATCATTTTAAAGCAAGTTTCACGGACTTCATTTTCAGCTTTTGTGCGGTAGTGATGTGCGAGTTGTGCATCTCGGAAGTGACGACGTGAGAGCTCTTCATTTTCTATATCACAGATTCTACGCCATATTGTTAGTTTCTCATAGAGTAAAAGCTTTGTCAAACCCGCTAAATACTCAACATGCTGTTGTAATTTATTAGGTTCCAATACGATGAGCTCATTATACTTCTCATAGGCCTCTTCATGTCTTTTATTCAATTTACTGACAAAAGTTCTAATAACTTGTAAGGTTGTGTTCCGTGGCAGCGTAACATGTTGCGCTTTCCTGACTTTTTTCTGTTTCATATATTTAATCATTTTAAAATTTATTTTTTTGTGACTAATAACGTATATTATGAATTTTGTTAACAAAAAAAGTTCGAAATAAAATTTTAATATATGATTAAAATGTCATTAAATATATTAAATATTTAATATAGTGTATTATGTTGTCAACCTCTCCAACTGACAGAATTTACTTAGGTTGCTTTTGTTTTTAAGATAAATCATTGGTATAGATTTCGTGTTACTTGATTTACAACACTATAAGTTATACTATAGCTAATTAGATTATATACAGAAAGTCGCATGTCACTAATTAAAATACAGACTAATTCAATGCAAGTTAAATATACCTAATTCAACTTATCATGAATAAACTAAAATAGTTTGGACGAAACATTAATTTGTTTGGGTTTGAAAGGACATCCTTTTTACTTTCGATATGACTATCCTTTAGATCGCTAAAAGCATTGTTAGTTCATTATACTTTAAGTAAGTCAATTCAAGCAATATATAATATATATTCAGCTTATAATATTATATTCAATAAAATATTTAAGCTCGTCAAGATCCGACCTCTAAACACTATTGTACAAAAATGATATCATTAAATTTATTTATATTATATATAATATATTTCGGACGTTTTAGGTAAGCAGTTCACTGAAACGCTTTCTGCTCCTATTCCCTGAAATGAATACAGCAAGGCTGCCAAAAGGTTTCAATCATCCCAACAGAATTGCTCTTCCTGAATAGAAAGAATGTGTCGTTTTCTTGAAAAAATATAAGAATTCCAATCGCTTTTTCTGTGACAATCTGAGTTTGATCTGAACTAGTAGAAAAGTTTTGGATTGTAGATGTTATATCTACGTGATATATTTTAAAATCCTCAAAAGCAGATACCCTGACTTTAATTTCAGGGTCTATTCAGTTAGGGTTGTTATTTTTGTGAGTTGTATTTTTTTTTGAAAGTGAAAAATAATTGAACAAAAGCGAGCAAGTTATATATTGAGAGCAGCTGTTCGAACAACTAATAAGGAAGGGTTCATCGTATCGATGACAAGTTGATACATTTCGACTATTCAAAGAGCAAAAGATCTGATGAAAAAGCCGGATATACGTCAATATCAAAATCAAAACGAAATATTCACGTTACGTTATATATTTTATAAGATCAGGTAGAAATAATCTATAAGAAGCTGTTAAATTCGAACAAAATGATTTTTTCTAGAACACAACTGAATCACTGCCTTAAAGAAGAAACGGCTAAAATATTCAAACGGTCAAAATTTTCTTGGAAAATAACAAAGGAAATCCTGCTCTATTCGCTCTATTCTAAAGACATTGCCCTTTCTGATTATATTTATCGATGACTCATGATTTATCTCAACAGCACTTCTATTTTTTCGCAGAAATCAAAAAACGTGTCGAAGACTTTTAACTTTCGTGGATTGCCTCGAGAGATAAGAAGTTCTTTCGATACGGAATCTGTGTGCTGCTATTATGATGGAAAAAAGTAGTGACGAGCAATAGATGATATTGCACCAAAGCTTCCTTTTTCTAATTTAAAGTTTGGTTAATATTTTCTTTTTTCAAAAGCAAAATATGCATTTTATCTAATACTTAAAGTACACATTATCTATGTATATATGTGAGGCTCTGAAGTCACTTTATATGGTACATACTGAATGTTAATTCTTGTTAATCCTTACTTGATACGCTCTTGATATTAAATGAAATTATGATCTTTACATGAAAAGAGAATATGCCGAAATAATTATTTCTATTTAGAGAATTTGAATAAAGTATTAGTGTTGCTGTAAAGCTAGACTTTCTTTGTATAGTGACAAAGATAAACACGATTAGTCATCGCTTCTAATTTGACAGGCACGAGTTCTAAGCCTGGCACTTGCAGTCCAAACAAATTATATACGGACTAAAAACTAATTAAATAAAATTCGATTATTTCCAAAGACCACTGATGAAGAGTACTTGGCAATACTCGAAACAGCGTTGTATGGTCAGCCAAACTTCAATAAAATTAAAAATAAATTTTTGTGTTTGTCCTTTATTTCTTTCTTTGTTATTCGAAAACCCCTCTAATATTTAGAGAATTGAAATAATAGTCTATACAATAAATAGAAGAAACTGGAAAACTTTATCTATTTTTTATACAATAGGTGTAATAAATTTTCATTAATTTAACTTGCAAAACAAGAAATTATTTTTAAAAATAAGAAAATTATATATTATTTATTTTTCTTACATAAAAAATAATAAAATTAAATTAATGAAAACTTATTATTTTTAAATTATAATAAATATATTATTATATATTCATTACGAAAAAATAATTGCTGTGTTTTGCTTGAGATCATATTACTCTGTGAATTTTAATAATATTTCTTATTAATAATAAGATTAATATTTTTTTATTAGTTTATTGTTACACTAATTTTTTTAATATTTTTTTTCTTTATATTATAGAGAAAATATATTATTTATATGTTACTTTTGAGAGTTACCATATTTCATACAAACAACAACCATATTTCTAATAACAATAAATTAATTTCAACAGTTTTTTAATTTAAATATATTTATTTATATACTTTATAATTGGAAACAATTTTGCTTATATGATTAAATGTTTTATATATTTTTGAAATGAAAACTTAATGACGAACAAATTTTAGATTGGATGGAATGTAAATATACAATTCATAGAAGTACAATATTTATAATAAAAAAACTTAACTAAATATTATTTAAGAAAAGTTAAGGCGATTATGCATAAAAAATAATTATTAATAATAATAATAATAACTATAAAAATATATGATAATAATTATAATAGTAATAATAATGAGTTAACATAAAAATGTTATTTAACATGAACGAGTGTAGGAATTACAGAAAATGTAACAAACTTGCTTAACCTAATGCTTGCAACATCCAAATGTTACAATTTCAGTCTATTCTGTGCTGGACTTTTGCATAAAATTTTTGCAATATTGCATTGTTAATTGTTGTATATTAAAATTTGCACTTATTTTAATGAATACAAAATAATTTTATATTAAGATATGAGTCAATATTTAGCCAAAAAGTACTTTTAAATTTATTTTACTTATGCTAAACAGAAAATCTTTTTCCAAAGCGGCGCTGGTGTTGGCGGTAATGTCTTCGGTACTAAGCCTTCCCAAATCGCTGTATCGAAAACTTCCTTGACTTTGTCCTTAAAAAAGAGAAAGGGGAAGATATTAATTATAACGTTTAATTGCTTATTTATAAAGTGTTAATATATATAGAAAAATATTTAAAAATATATTTATAAATTTTTATAAAATTTGCATAAAACTTACATAAAATTTATATAGAGGTTTTCGAAAAATAGTGAACTACAACAACAAAAATTTAATTGTTAAATTTCAATACCTATCTGTTCGTAGAGACATGACTTATATTTGCATTACTTATAAATTCCTTTTTATCTATAGTACATAATGTAATCCTTATTTTGTGAATACAAGTGGTAATTTTCGAAAAGTAGTGAACTACAACAACAAACATTCTTTTTTTATATTATTTTAATTAATTAAATTTTCTTCCGAGTATTGCCAAATACAAGTTCTTCCGAGTATTGCCAAATACACATCATCAGCGGTATTTGGAAAGAGATCTTGAATTTAATTTCTTACTTATTCATAATTCTTATTTATTTCATTATTAATTTTTCGTGATTGCAAGTAACAGGAATTAATCTCGTGCCCTGTCAAATTTGAAGCTCAGAGTCAAAGCGTCTTAACCAGCTGACTCAAAGCTGTATATGACTTTTATGTTCGCACTTTTTTTGGGAGTTTTGTTAATTTGCTGTGAAAGTTTTATTATCAAAGTCACTTGCTGTGTTTATAAAATTTATATAAAATGTATATAAAATTTGAATCCGTATTCAAATTCACTATTATATTGTATTGTACTATATTCTATTCTTCTTGATTCTTCTTCTTGAGTTAGTACTATTACGCACTTTTACTCTATAATGGCTGGGGGGCTTATCTCTACCCCACACTAGGCTTTAACTAGGCTAAGATATCATATCATTTTTTTTTTTTTTGAGTTGATGACGGACCTTAAATCAGCATATCTTCCTGAGAGTACAGAAGTGAATTTGAGGATTGTTAGGGCGGGTTTAAGTAGCGTTTCAACTTTAGTGAATAATTCTATTGAGTTGTAATAAACTATCTTCGAAATTATTATACACCTTTCTCAATACCTATTAATTTAAAGTTTGTGTTACAATATAACTACATTATACATGTCTACCTTGAATATTACATCGTTTTATAAAAAGGTTTTTTATCTACTAAAGTAATATGTTTTAAAAATACATGAATCCATATTTCCCTAACCTCTATTTTCACTTGTCAGTGCTTATTTTTCGCAAATTCTATTTATGTTTTTACTTTAAGTATTTTGACTCTGGGAATTCGCGACATCATAAATAAAAAATATATAAATTGCACAAATAAGAATATTTTGTGCAAGAAATTTGTCTGACTTGTTTATTTAACATTTCTTTGTATAAATTTTTATAAGGAAATTTGTTTTGCAATAAATGAAAATCCTTTAAAGGATTTACTTTGACACTTGCGCAGGCAACAGAGCGCGATATTCTAAGGTTGACGGATTTTTTTACTCGTAGTTGTTGTTTATTTTTGTGCCTTGATTCAAAAAGTTGTAAAAAAGACTGTAGTCTTGTGTAATAAAGTTTCCCAACGGAAGCTGTATTTTCACGCAATGTAAATGCAGAAGGAAGAACACATTCGCACATACATTCTGCGAGGCGCTTTGCACGAAATTGAATTTGATTTAAAACATTTACAAATAAATCCAGACGGATTTAGGCGCAGTGTGAGTGCAGGTTGACGCGTCTTACGCCTTCGGGATAAGCTTTTAAATACCTTTTCCCATAAGTTTTCCTTTGATACAATTTTATTAAATGTTAAGAAATTTCCATCACGTTGATTTAAATTAAAAATTTGCTTTCGGTCACAAAAGGATTAAGACTGACAGCAGTTTGCAGAGTATTTGCAGTTGCATTCGCAAACTTTTATCAAAACCTGTGTAATCTATTAAGTAAAGGTGGAAATCGTTGAGTCTTTTTCCACTTACCTGTGTTGCTGACGAAGTCTCGATGTATTTTGCGCCAATTGTAGTTGCTAGGTCCCAGGCATCCGTGTACGTTACTGGCTTCTCGCCTTTTGTCTGTGCGTGCCGGAAGTTGCAAACATATTTGCCAATTATTGTGAAAGATTCACACAAGAAACAAAGAGTGATGAGCATGAGCAAAGGAACGAAATATTAATCAAATGGAAACATAAATATTTTAAGGATTTGACTGCAATGATAAAGGAATTCCAAAAATATCATCGGAGTTATTGGCTTACCTGCAATTTATTCAGCACATTCGTATTTGTACGCAAATCTGCTTGCGTTCCGACCAATATCAATGTTGCCTTTGTTTTTGTGAATTTCGGTGCCCATTTCGTTTTGATGGCATGAAACGTTTCCGGTTTTGCCACTGAGAAACATAATAAGAAAACATCGCTGTCCGGATAACACAGCTCACGCAAAGGATCCAATGTATCTTGTCCAGCTGTATCACAGATGGTTAAGTGTACGGGACTATCGTTCACCATAACATCAGCTGAAAGCAATTAGAAAGATTTAAGTGTTATTCAGTGAGATTTATAGGGATTTATTAAGGATATGTATTAGTATATAGATGAAAGATGAAATATGTGGTCTGTAATTGTTTTTAATAAAATATAAATCAAACACTGATTAATTTATAGGAAAATATAGCAGAAGTAGTTGTTTCCGAAATTGGATGATAAACAAGTATGAGTTATACTACGTTTAGATACACCTTAATTTTGCAAAAATCTTAATTTCATTCTCGTTTCAGCGAAATTAAGTTCTTTTTTCCATACAGTTTTAAGGTTAGAACGAAATTAAGGAAAATGGCCTTAATTTCGTTGAAACGAAGGCTGACATTTCGAAGGGATATTTTAAATGCAACTATGCGTAAGATAAATTATAAGCAAAAGATAAAGTTGAGATAACGAAAGAGTGACAAAAGCGGGAAAATATTTTAAAAGTAGTAGTAAAAATTTTTAAATTTGAATATAGAGAAAAAACTGTAACATTTATTGATTTGAAATATAGTGAAAAATAATAATTCACACACCTAATAAAACTAAAATAGTGTTTGGAGCATATAATTTTTAACATTCAATTTATAAACAAAAAATATATGATTTCCTTAATTTGGGGCAATATGAACACTTTCGAAATTAACTTAATTTCATTTTTACGAAATTAAGAAAATTTGGCTGTCTGAAGAGTGTATTAGTCTAATAATATAATAATATGTTTTTGTAAATGTAGAAAGCGTATAAGCCCTTTTTTAATTAAACTTTTAATTTTACTAAATTTATAAAAAATTAATTTAATTTAAATATAAATTAAAAATTTAGAATATATATATATATATATATATAAATATAATATATATATATATATATATATATATATATAAATTAAAAATTTAATATATATATATATATAAGAATTACAAAAAAGTTAATAAACTATAAATATTAATTAATGATGTCACATAAACAAACAAGAACTAAAAATCAAAAATTAAATTAAGTTTTTATAATCAGAAATATTTATAAAAAATAGCAGAAATATTATACAAAAATATTAATAAAAACCTATGATAATAAATATAGTAAATAAAAAACAATATAAATTTTTGAAAATATATATGAGATTGGAATGTTTAAAACCTTTGAAGTGTGATGTTTAAAAATATAATTTAAATATATAGATATATAATATAAATTCTTTAAAAAAACACCATTTAAATATTTTATTAATTTTATTATTTCAAATAAAATTTTATTTAAAAGGCTAAATGCAATATAAATATTAATAAAAAAGGCAACCGATTCTATAAAAAATAACTAAAAAAAACTGGACATAGATAAATCGAAAATAAAAATATAAAAATGTATATATAAGAAAATTTTATATTTTAATAACTTTTAGAAACAAATTGTTATCGAATCCAAATATTGTTTTTAACCAAACAAGTTAAGGTATTTTAATTAAATATTTTGCTTCAACTGCTTGATATGTGATATATGTACATATGACTATTTGCAATATGTGAATATTTCGATACCATTTTCTACCTCTGCAAATTTACCTATATTTTTGGCATTCGAGTAATTTTTATGAATTTTTATTTTACCTTTGCAATGCAAATATCCTTTGCCAGCCATACCGTAGCCACGCCAAGAGAGAAATAAAAGTATATTTGAACATTTTTCGCATTCAGCCAAAAAAATATTAAAAATTTTTGTGGTAAAATTAAAGTAAAAAACACATATATATATATATGAAAAGGAATAATAAATATAATTCCATTTAAATACCTTAACACATATGAATGCCAATATAGGCAACTGTAAGCAGATTCTGTGCACATATGGGTAAGCGTAAGAAACACGAACCCACATAAAAATACTAAACTTACGAAAAAAATTAACTCATACTGGGGGATTCCTTGCAAAAAAGAAGCACACAAGGACGCGCAGTGGCATTTCTGTCACCGACACTTCCACACTTCCATACTTACATATAAAGTGGAAAGAAAATCTCTAGCATGTATATGAAAATATATTGAGATAGATGTATGCTGCGAGACATACAGATACAATTTCATACATAAATTTAACAGGGCACACACATTAGACGCTGCCTGAGTTGTTTCGAATAATTTTGACATTGACGCCTCCAAGTAAAATTCACACGCCAACAATTTTCGTTATGAATTCGCTTTGGGTTCCTGTTAACTCCTGCCAACACCTAAGTTTGGCGAGATTATACGCATCTGCTCGCATAATTTGTGGTATTTCTTGTAGTTTATTAATTTCTAGTGAATTGTAATTTAACAGCGCAAAACTAAGTGATAAATGAACTTCCGGCAAAAAGCTAAGAGGGAATATCAATTTAGCAGCGCACAAAAGTATGCTATGAAATAGTGCGAAATTTAGTAAATAAGTTGTTTTAAGCTGAAGAAGTGAAACAGTGTAGCAGTGTTTGTTAGATTTATGAGGTCCTGTGTTCTACTAGGGACAAAAAAACAATTAAGAAGAAATTAATTAATTCATATTAAACCACTTTAAAGTGAAAACACATCAAATTTATAATTAATTTAAGACGAAAAAAAAGAAGAAAATGTATACATATATCAATGTTAAGGAATGATATGGGTCATCATTTACAGACGACACGGATGATTCTGACAAAAATTGACTTCATCACCGTTGATTTGGCTAAAAAACTTTTTATGTATTAACCTAAAAAAAACTAATTTCGGATGAATTCGAATAACAAAAGAAAAAACAAGGGCAAAAATTTATTTAATTTATTTAAATTTGGCTGACCATATTGCCAAGTACTCATGATCAGTGATCTAAAGAAAAATTCACATTTCTTAATTGGTTTGGATCCGTACATATTTTATTGGACTGCAATTGCCAGGTTTCGATATATAAAATCAATAATGTATCATATTCTGACTTTGTCAAAATAGTCACAAAGTCCAACATTTGGTCCAAAATTTTGGAAAATAGTTTTTGTACGTGTAAATTTACATTGAATTTAATTTAAAGGGTTATGGTAGAGATCGTCAAGGTTTAAAAACAAGCACCGTACAAGTTATCACCGAGCTATCACTTATATATTCATAAGATATTGAAAATTAACTTAAAACAATCCATTTGTTTTAAAATTCTTATGGAGATTGGTAGATGAATGTAGTATTTCACAACTAATGGCAAAATTTAAAGAATATTCGGAAAAAGTTTTGGTTGAAAATTAATTTTGGAGACTATAAAATGGATAACCATGGAAAACCATTACATCAATAAAAAAACATAAAAATAACAATGAAAGTTGATTCGATGATCCAGTGATTTCTTCTTATGATACTTCACCGGTTAATCGCTTTATTTCCTTGCAAATAAATAATTAAAAACAGAAGACGAATGATGGAATGAGATCATATAATTATTAAAAAATTCTATTACTTTTTTCTGAGCTATTTTATTTGTCCTACTAAGTAAGGAATATTTAAAACAAATTCTTTTAATATATTATTATTTCGTTAAAAACATATATACTCTGTTAGTAATTATAACTTAATTTAGATTATATATTGTACATATATTTCACACATCCTTAACTTCTCCGCAGTGTTGAAGGAAATCATGAAAAAATAAATCTTAAAAGTTTTAATGAAGAACTCATTTTTATTGCAAAGAATTTTAATAAGAAAGGAGGGGAACGAACTTCATCCTATAAAAATTTTGTTTGCTCAACCTTGATTTAAGATTATTTTTCATATGTGGATTTTCCACGTATGTTCACATGTGATTATCATTACATTTTATATGTATATAACACACAATATCATAAAAAATTATATTTCACAAGTACTGTACTCGATGAACACTCATCGTTATTAATTTTCCTACACATTTCTGTCGTTGAAAGTAAAATTTTCAGCAAATTTGCTTTAAAATTTATGTCATTATAATTACAACGCCATAAACTTAAGTCAGCAACATTACGGAAAATGATTATTGGAGTATATGAGTAGGAATTTTACACATAGTACGTATGTCGACAGCATGACAAGCAGCAAATGTTGTCAACAGCGTCATTAGCATTAAAGCAAACATTCAGCAAAAGTCTTCGAAACTCACAGCCTATCTACTAATACCCGTTCTCGTACTTATTTAAAATTACTAGGAGCTGTGCATTAACTTGACTGCTACGAAATTGTACATTAAGTTGCCGTTATTTGAGGCTCCAGCAGACACACATCCTCCGTGCACACATCCTTAAAGGATCTGTGCGTAGACATGTGATGACTTTATTTCGTGCAATATTCATTCAACTTGAATTATGTTGCATTGTGCTTGCTTTATAGTTTATAAGTCAACAAAAAGGTTTCAAACTGCCAACAAAGCGAAAAGTGTTCTTTGTATTACTTAGTAAATCATTTTGATTAAGTTCTCCAAAGGTTCTTACTAAAATCCATACAAAATGTAAGACTTGTCCTTATAACAATTAGTAAAATAAGGTTATTCGGCTGTTTTGTAATTCAAATCTAAAATGCAGAAATATTCAATGCAGATAGTAAAGTAGTATTTAAGGGATCTTAAAAGTTTTTTTTCATAAATTCTGCTAGATTGCAAGAATATGCTATAGTAACTGACAAGCAAAAATTAGAGTGCTGCTTTGCTGTGTCACACAGGAATTAATAATATATAATTATTATTGTCAGGCACTGCGACTGTCTGGCCTATTATGTCCCCTTCTGGGTTTAGAGTAGGTGTCTAAACCCTGTTGCGTCAATAAAAAGTAGTATAAAACCTACTTTACAAAGTTTTATTGCCTCTTTCGTAAGAACATACATTCTCAGAGTTAATAATAACGAGTCCGCAGAACTGGATCAACAACCTAGTATTGTGCACCGCCTCCTTATTGTGGTATAAGTTGGTCCACAACAATGTTTTTGTTACAAAAAAGGTTTGTAGCCGATGTCAATCTATAATCGATGTC